GGTCAACCTGTGATCTGACCTGACCTAGTCTGAAAAAATCAGGTTAGGTAGACAAATTTTAGGTCATCATCAGGTTAGATCAAACTTATGACTTGATTTGATAAAATTTAGGTTAATCAATCAAATTAAACAAAATAAAATATTTAAAAAAAATTTTTTGATTTCAAAAAATTAAATTTTAATTTTAAATATTTTTTGCAATTATATTAACAAACAAATTATTTTTAATTTTTTTATCTGTTCAATTACTTTAAAGAAATATTTAAGCATTTTGATCAAAGAAAATTGACTTTTATTACACAATTAAAGTTACTTAGCAGGTTCAAATATATATATATATAAATTTTATTATGATTAAATTAATAGTTATAAAGTTATGAATGTTTTTCATGATTATATGGGTTAGTACGTACGAAAATCATGCTGCGGGACTATATAAATCATATGATCAAAACCTGATTTTTGTACGTACTAACCCATATTATCTCATGAAATTTTTTTAATTTTTTTATTTAATTAGTAACTTCAAAAAGTAATTTGAGCATTTTGATCAAAGGTAATCACTTTGATCACATAAATAAAGTTGTTCAGTAGATTCAAAGATATGTACAAACAAATTTTTATTATAATTAAATTAATAGTTATAAAGTTATAAATGTTTTTCATAATTGTATTAGCAATTATCTGATTTTTAGACTTATCGCAATTTATGATTTTAAAAAAGTATTATTATATTAGTAATCGTTTTATTTTTTTTTTAAAATTTTACTAAAATAATATAATATAAAATGTATCAATGTTTTTTTAAACAAAATTAATAAATGATTAATTTCATGTTTATTATATTATTTTTATAATTGACTTAAAATCACATGATATACAAATTAGGTCAGGTTAGGTTAGGTTGGATTGGATCAAAGGTATGGTTAATTTTATGTCTGATCTGATTTGAACTTATCAGGTTAGATTAAATCAATTATCTAACCTAATTCAATCTGTTCAAAACTTTAATGATATATATTCTTAGATGACTGCTAACTTCTCTGATATGACTAGTAAAGAGAACTTAAAATAAAATATGTAAACTAAAGATGGTGCATCAAATTTAAAATATGTTGCAACATAAGCTAAAATTAATTGCAATATATATAAGTCAAAACTAATTGCAATGTATATTGCAATATTAAAAGTTATAACATATTAATTACGGTTCTTATCTTTAATGTAAACTGTACAAAATTTGAGAAATAACTCTATTTGATATTAAGTACTAGAAAGTTTTTTGCTAATACAGTCAACCCTTGATATAACGAATTTTATGTCCTGAACTTCAACTTCGCTATAGAGCTATAGTGAATTTTTTAAAGAATTTGATTGGCTAGTTCGTTATAATGAGAGTAAATTTAATATAGTTGTCCAAAAAATTCGTTATATAAAAATTCGCTATAGAGAGGTATGACTGTACATATGAATTCTTATATAAAAAAAGATATTAGAAGTATTAACTGTTAAGTTTTTAAGCTTTTCATTGTGATTGACTAAGTTTTTAAGAAGAAATTCCAATTTGTTTTCTCAGAATGTATCAGATGAATTATTAGAGAAAGTTTTCTAAGGAATTTTTATTATATTTTTCTAATAAAATAACATTTACAAAGTTATGAAAGCATTTTTTACTATGTTTTTCTTAGTAAAAAAGGTATTTCCAAAGTTGCAGATGCACTTTTTGCTATAGTTTTCTTAGTAAAAAAGATATTTTCAAAGCTGTGAAGGTGCTTTTTATTATAGTTTTCTTAATAAGAACCACTTCTAAAGCTTTAGAGATGGCTTTACTATTGATTCGAATCAAATAAAATATTTAAATACTTGATTTAAATTTGATCAAATTAAATTAAACATTAATTTGCATTTGACTAAATAAATTATTCTTTGATTTAAATTTGATTGAATCAAATCAAATATAAATTTGATTCGATCTGATCTGTCAGAACTGAATCAGATTCAGATTGAATTGGATTTTTTGCAGAATACTACCTGACATATAAGCTGTATTATCTGTTAACTATATTATGTATTTCTTAATATCAATATAAGTATTCTCAATTATTTTTCAAACAGATTATAATACTGATTTACCATCGCATCTATCAATATCTTTAAGATGAGTCATTATTGCAAGTGGTTTATTTTTGAATCGTATTCCAGAATATAAAATAAATTAAAAAAGTTTGATTCTATTATGTTTTGATTCATCCACCATTATGCCATAATTATTCGTATTCTTGATTTCTAAAAGATGTGAATCCATTTATAAAGTTGAGATATCTTTATATCATATAACTAATGTGTTATGTGAAAACTAAGTTTTAGGTGATTCTCCAGTTAAAACTTCATACACTAGCTTCATACACTCTACTGTTGATCACATAGAAACCTGTCTAATTTGTGTTATTTATGTTGCCATCCAAATTGTATTTGTTGAATACTGATTTTTGTTTTTTTTAAATATTAATTCAATTTGTTTTTTAAATGCATTTTGTGATATTGCTAAAGCTTTTTAAACTAATGAGCAAATTGCTAAAATATAATGCTTTTTATTTCTTTAGATAATGTATTTCTGATCCTAAAGATTGTGTTTTATGAATTAGTCTTTCATTTTGATCATTTAACATTTGAATTTTCTGATGTAAATTTTTATAAGAAGGATCTTTAATAAACAATAATGCCTTGTCTTGCAAATACGGTAGAAATATTTGTCCTTGATAAGAACCTTTTGGGTAATGCATTTGTCTTAATAAATGCTAGGCTAATTTAACTTCAGCTTCTGATAATTGATTGACTGTTTCATGAAAAGCATGTCATTCCTTTGTTTTTTTCTTCATCTCTAATTTTTAGGCTTTGATTTTACGAGCCATTTTTAATTGTTGAGAGTGTTGAGCGTGTTTTGAGATCAGAGGCATTTTTCTGATAAAAAATCCTAAATTTTTAAATTTGATAACTTTTATTTTAAACTAGCATTCAGGCAAATTAAAGCTTTAATCTGATATATTACAACATAGAAAATAATGTGACAGGCCATTTTGTTAAAAATTTTAAAGAGAGAATTTTTTTTTCTTGAGAGCTGTGCTTCGAAAGTGTTATTTTAATATTATTTTATTATTTTTACCTTGATAATTTTTTTTTTTTAGAAAAGCATAAACAAAAAAACTGATTGAGAATATTTTTTGCGAAATTTAGAAAAAAACTAATCAGAAAAGTTTAAAGTTATGGAAGGGTGAAAAAAGTTATGATTTAGTAAGAGACTTATTATAAAAAGAACTTAAGCTACGAGAAATAAATTTCATATAAGACTATACATGTATTTGATTTAATTAGTCCCAACGCCTCGTGGCTTTCCTTTTTATTTTATTTATCTATTAGTGGCTTGCTTAGTTTATATAACCTTTTTATATTAGGTAACAAACGGAAAATGAAAATGGCCACCACTATATATGATTTAAAATTTCAAGACCACATGAAAATACCGTTAATTTATGAACCCATTATATGTGATGACACTTTACTTTATGTTTGTAATCATTTGTGTTCAATTCTTCTAAGCATTCTGAAGAAGATAACAGTTGCAACAAATGAAATCTTAATAAACCACGTAATTCATGCAATAATGCAAAATATCTTTTCGAAATAGCGACAAATGATTACGAGCTGGATAATGAATTTTTCTTTTTGGTCATGTCCTTAACATTTCGTTTAACATATTGAGGTTTTGCAATAGTCACATACTGTACATACGTAATATAATGAAAATAAAATCGAAACAAAAAAGCTTCATTATTCTCATTTTTAGTTATCAGGAATATTATAATATGATTCACTATCTCATATAAAATTAATTTCAAACATATTCTTGATGAAGGTATACCTATAAGAGTTTTGTTTTAGTAATAAAAGAGGATAGACATATGATTACTTTTAAAATATTTTGTCAATTACGGCAGAAGAGAGAGAAATAAAAAATTTTAGCCTTGGTTATCAAATGAAATTGATGATAGTGGCGTTGAAGAAAAAATGATAATTGCACGGAATTAAAAAAATTGAGTCAAAAATAAAAAGTAAACCTAATCATCTAAATAACCAAATTTCAAGTAACTACAAACTCTCATCAAATCGAAAAAAAACCCATTTTGTTCAACTTTTGATTTAACAAAATCAATTCCCCAGAATATTATGGATAATGCACTAATAACATTGATTAATGTTGATGAATTAAGCGATTCATATCATACATACACTTTTAGATAGAATACGCAATGTCATTGAAGAAATCATTTGATTTCTTTGTTAATGCCACCTTCAAATGTTGAAAGAAATGCGCTTAGGTTGGAATAAACGCATTGAATCACATCACCACCATTGCATCTCATGTAAGTTAGTTATACATGTAAACTTTTTTCTATTCAAATTTTCTTGGATAGCAATAATGTAGCCATTCATTATTCTTTTAGGATATTTGAGCATTTTTGCACGCTTTCACAGATACCATCATTCACCAAATTATCAGTATTTTCAGATGGTAGTGGAAATATCTAGGATTTAAATTACGTCGCAAAAAATTTACTATTGAAACTTTTCATCAAATGAACGATGTTGGAAATAAGTTTGTATTCGATTATCTAATATTTATATATGAATTTTTATTAAAATTAATTCAATATTTAATAGGCTATTGGATTTTTTTTATCAAAACTTAAAAACGTTATATTGTGATTGTAATTCATTTTAAATGAAATTCACGTGATTTAAATTTCTTCTTTCCGAGTTTCCCTTATTTTTGATCATAATAATTGTAAGTTTAATATATGATCTGCGTATACCCGGTGATGATGACGATAAAATTTTCAAGAAAAATTGATTATGAGGAAAAATAATCAATAGCTATTCAAATAGTTTTAACATTTTAATGTTTAAAAGTTCTCATATGTCATCAATAAAGTACGGTTTAACTATATTTCCGAATCTTCCATATTATCATTCCTTTCTTCACTACTGCTCCTACTATCTTCGCTCTCAAATTGTATAATGAGACCTTCTTTTGATACTTGTTTGGGGTGCGTTAAATCTTTTAAATCGTTTTTTCGACCATGATCATTCGATATTGTGATTTCTTCTATGCTAGTTTTGGAAACAGTACTATTATGGTTGTGGATGCTTGATGATATTGATTTCTTTTTACGAATTTTTGGTGTGACTTTATTTTTTGTTTCACCCTCTTTAACAGTAGTTCGTCTTAACATAGCTGTAAGCAATGATATCGAAGAGCCTGGACTTGATGGCTTGTTAACATTGTTAATTGGAGATTTATGGTATTGTGAACTATTTGAAGAAAGTAATGATGGTGAAGAATTAGGTGATCCATAATTATTTGTGGCTGCATGAACTTCCTGTAATCCTTGTAGATTTTCAATACTTGTGTTGGCTTTCTTGACACTTTCTCTCATTGCCGAAAGCCATTGTGAAGATGATATATCTTCTGAACTTTGTGATTGATTCGAAAATATTTCTTTCAAACGATCAGAAGCAGAACTATCTTCAGAAGAACCGAGAACGCTTTGAACATTAGATAATATTGTTCCGTCAGGGCTTCGAACTGGACTTAATGCAATATCCGAATCTTGATGTTTATCGGACAAAACTGTATCAAACGATACTGTAACAACGCTGAAATGAGTTCTTCGTTTTTGTAAGGAAAGACGTCTTGTTTCAAACTGAAAGGAACCATGGTTATGTTTTTGTCTTGTATTTAACCATAACTTGTGAAGTGTTGGATGTTTGATACTTGCAGATTGATCTGTCAATCGTTCTTCCGCTGGTAAAAGATTTTCTATCTTATTTAATGTTTGAAAAATTTCATGTACCATCTTATGAGTTTTTTCCACTTGTTTCATAAATACGTTAACTAAAAATAATTATAACAATCAGCTAACTTTTCAAAAGAAAATTGTATATGTATATAATTGATATATGTCCTCACCGATGCCCATTTGTTCGTAATTGGTTTTTGCCTGTAATTGTGCGGCAATCATTGTTTGATTTATCTCTACACAATATGTATCCACTGATTTGACTGTTTCCATAACTATTCTCTAAATCATAATCATATTATAAAAAATTATGTATTGAGTCAATCTTAAACGAAACATGTTGAATACGTATGTAAATTTACCTGATCTTCGCATATTTCTTCAACACATTTTTTTATAAGAGATTGATATGTTAAAGCAAAATTAAATAATGAATCATATCCGAATGATGCTAAAAATAAAAATAAATTAAATTAAATGAAATAAGAAGTTAATAAAATTTCCTATAGACGTACGTTCTTTAACGTGATCCGAAGATGCAGGTGCTGAACCCCATAAACCACTAAGAGTGAAACCTGTCTCAGCATGAGGTTTAATCAATGGTTCAAACTATAATTTGTCAATTATCTCTTAATTAGAGACTCTGTAGAATAAATATTGATATCTCTGAAAATATTTATTACCCTTGGAATTTTATCCAATTTTGAAATTTCTACATCCAAATCGTCTTTTTCATTAACATTACTAACCGTAATGACACCCTAATGGAATTGAAAGGAATTAATTTTTTTTTTAAATTTTTAATAGGAATTCATAAATAAAATCGAAATGCTTACCTTCTCAATATCTCGTTGTATTATTTTCATACGCTCTGCCTCGTTTCCATTTTTATCATTTTCATCTGTAATCGAATTTTCTTGAGCTCTGAATTGGCATGACCGATTATTTAATTCATTATTTTGAATTTCACTCATTTTTTTAACTTATGAAGTATTTTTATAAAATTCGATTATAAAAGAGTGTTATCGCTGCATTACAAATAATTTCTAATCTTGGGTTTCATGTTACATGAACTTTAAAAACAATATATGGGAGGCGGTCAGTAGAAAAGGGGGAAATCCAAATTTTGGTCAAAATTTTTTTAATTAGTTCACTTCACTGATCATAGTCATGTGAACAAAATTAGCTTAGTAACTAAAATTACTAAAATTTTCAGATTTCCCCCTTTTCTACTGACCACCTCCCATATTTTAAGTTAGCTCCGATCCGACGGACAATTATTATTAAATCAAAAATTATGTCTGATATAATATTTATTATGAATGTTTCTAACCATAACCGGTATCTATCCACAAAATTTTCATCACACGTGACTTTGGCCGGCATTACGGCATTAAAAAATTACGTACAGTGGGCATCAAAAGTCACCGGGCACTTAGAAATTAGAAAATCGACGGAAATGATTCTTTCAAATAAATTTTATTTTATTAATTTAATCACTTTAGGAATAATAAGTAAAGTTATGCGTCATAATAAATTGCATATAATTTTAAGTTTTATAGATATCTGATCAGTAGTAAAATTTATATTATTCATTTAACGTGTTTTAATACAAAATTTCAGTTATAATTGAACATATAATTTTTCAGCTATAATCATTTTTATTCATTAAGTAAACTTGTTCGTCAAATTAAAAAATAAATTTCTGCAAAATTTCAGATTAATTACTTATAAACTTGATGAGATCAACTTAATTACAGTGAAGTTATTAAAGTCATGTGATATGTTTATTTCTTTTTAAATTTAACTACTACATTTATCAGATCTCCACAAGAATAAATGTAATTTAAGGCAGAAACTTATTTTTTTAATTTGACGATTAAGTTACTAAATGAATAAAAATGATTATAGCTGAAAAATTATATGTTCAATTATAACTGAAATTTTGTATTAAAACACAAAAAATCATGATAACTTAAATACAAAAGGTCACATTAAATGAATAATATAAATTTTACTACTGATTAGATATCTATAAAACTTAAAATTATATGCAATTTATTATGACGCATAACTTTACTTATTATTCCTAAAGTGATTAAATTAATAAAATAAAATTTATTTGAAAGAATCATTTCTATCGATTTTCTAATTTTTAAGTGCCCGGTGACTTTTGATATCCTACTATATATTATCACTGAGAATAATTCTCTTTTTGTACATATTTCACTAAGTTACTTTACTACAGCAAGTAAGTTCCTTATCATCAGACTTTACAACCTTAAGGAATTTTACATCTTACAGGTATTTGAAATGTTTTAGAATTACTTCACTTAATTTTATGAACTTAAAGATTTAAAAACTTAGGAAAAACTTAAAGAATTTTATTTATTCTAAATGATAAACTCAAAAGTAAGTTAGTGTAATAGTTCACAATTAAATCCTAGATAATGGATACATAGAAGAAAAAAATAATTATATTTCAAAGTTGATTCCTTTATTTATTACTTAAATTTGTAATAAAACTAAAACTCATAATAGAGTTATTTATAACTTGAGTAAAAAGCTATTCTATTTATACAAAATTAATTTGCTATGATTAACTAATTGCTACGTTATAAACTAACTAAATTTGTAACTATAAGTGCTAATATAATGATAATAATAATTATAACAAGTATAAAAAAGATAATAATTATAAAAATAATAATATATACATTTGAAATTTAAATGCAGTGTAATATTCTGTAGATTTATGATTTTCATAATATTTCAGGGTATTATATTGTAAAATTATGTGAGTTTATGAGTTTGTAAGATTTACAAAACATTATGGTGAAATTTTACATAGGTTACAGATCATATTTTTTATGTAATATTACAGTCAAAATCCTTCGTAAGATTACAGTATTATAAGATTTATGAAATGTTACAATAAAATCTTACATAGGGTTATAGTATTGTAAAATTTACAAAATATTATGGTGAAATCCTACATAGTGTTACAAGCTTTTAAAATTATGAAACATTATGATGAAATTTTACGTAAGGTTATAGGATTATATGAAATCTTACGTAGTATTAATTTAAAATTAGTAATACATGTCATTAGTTGAAATTATTTCTTTTGGTATTAATATCATTCGGGTAACATTCAGCTGATTCAAACATATGATTTGGCAAAAATTCAGCTTAAGTTATAAAATTCAATAGTCATTTATTATATTGTATATAATTTGCATTATTTCAATACTAAGTTCTTTTAGCAAACATTCAGCTGATTCAGTTATACTATTTGGCAAAAATTCAACTCGAGTTTAAAATTTGGTAAAAAAATTATAATAAATCTACTGTTATTTGTTACACTATATATAATTTTGATACTAAGATCTTTTGGTAAACATTTAGTTGATTCAATACAGCAAAATTTCAGTTATTTTTTAAAATTTGATATGAATAATATAATAAATTAACTGTCATTAATTACATTGTATATAATTCAGCATTATATTAATTTTTTGGTTTATTATAAAAAATTTATATTACAAAATAAAAGTTAACAAATATAAAATTTACGATTTATCAGATTTATGACTAAATATTCAATAGCATTTGGACGAGTAGAAATTTTATATTTTACTGATACAAATTGATAAAGAATATAATAATACTATCACAATCATCAGAAAAAAAATTATTTTTTTATAGTTTAATATTACAAGATTTTTATCATCATTAATACTAAAATAATATCAAACTTTATATGTTTCTGCTAGCCTATATCACTGAATAAATGCTAAATTATATTCTGCCAGTCTATCCTTAAAATCAATTATATGCTTAAAAAAATACTGGACTTGACAAGCATAACAGTCAATCTGATTATTGAATGTTATAAAATTTGTTAAAATAAATGAACTTTTTACATGTTGAAATGATATGGCTGAACCAAATATATCAGAACCAATTCTATATTGACTGAATTTGTTTATTGTAATATGATTAAGTATGATCAAATCTTTAGAACTATCATTGAATATTTCTCTTAAAATTGTGCTTCATATATTATTGTGTAGTATTTGACTATTAAACTAAGCATTAACTTAAATAATATCACATTGAATTTAGGACTTAATATTTCTCCATTGCATCTAGTAATAATCAATTTCTGTATATTTTTCGAATTAGATCAAAATTGCTTTATTTCATCAGATGAATATTCATCATCTTCTAATAATAAACCAATAACAGTTTAATTATTAAGCAAATCTAAAACTTTTGCTTGAATATTTACTAAACTATTGATTTCTCTAATACAATTATCATTTATTAATCTGCATATTATTTCTGGCTTAATTTGTCTATGACTACTTAGCAATGAATCTAAACAATATTAACATATTTCATTATTTATTAGCACATTTCATTATAAAAATTGGCAAAAAAAGAAACTACAATTACTGAGAATCCCATTCATATGCTCAAATAAGAAATGTCAGAATGTATATAACAGACTGAAATCATATAAGTATTTTCATAAATAAAGCAAAAGGTAAAGATTCAGTATTATTTTATCACACCTATTATGCATTTCAATAAGTTTTAATATTTTAATTAACCTTTTGTGAGCTTTTTATACTGAATCAAGTTTCAGAATTTGCTATACTAGTATCAAATAAACTTTAACAAAATGTGTTAAAATCATTCAGTTGATTACTAATAAATATTTTCAAAGTGATATAGTTGCATAAATTATATAAAATGTTCATCATTGGTCTGCTGTGAAGTTAAAAAAACCTTCTCTGCAATCAATTTTTCAAGGGATTCTACTTAAATCAGCTGGAACTTGAATTTGATTCATATTCCTTTGGATACTTTTAAGAGTATCTGAAGTTAAAACCTTCTCATTAATCCAAATTTATTTAACTATTCATTTCACTATACCTAAAAATAGGTACTGTATTTGGTTGACTGTTAAAATTTGAATTGGATCAAAGTATAGTAAATAAAGTAACTTAGATTATGCTTTACAAACTTTCTGTTAGTATCTGAATTGCATTTTCACTAGCCAAGTGCATCCTTTCAATGTTGTGATAAATTCTGAGGAGTAAACCATTCATTTATATTACTCTTTCTAGTAAATTATATTGTCTATTTTCATAATTTGCCTTCTTTTTGTATCTATGACATGATACTAATGTTACTAATATTGACACATGACTGCAAATTTTTCTTGCTACAGGTATATCATATGAAACAAGGATTAATGCTACATGAATTTTTCTTTCTTCTTAATATTTATATGTTCGATTTAGAATCACACCATTCTAAAGTAACTCTAATTTGTTAACAATTGGTACTAAATAATGATTTATTTTGTGTAAACTCACTTCATTCGGGTTAAACATAATTCCAAGAATTAGTAAATTTTTACGCTTGAATTGAATGTCTCTTGGAAGATTATAAATTGTAGCATATAATACTCCAGTGCTATAGATTATTCTATCAAAGGGTTGAAACTAATCTAAATTCAATATTAAGTCTAAATGTGAATCAGTTACATCAGGTCTGAAAAATTTTTGTAAAGTTTCTAAATCATTTTCTTTAAATATCTTTCAAATTTATCTATTATATATATCTGCTAATATAATTTCTTGGAACTCAACAAATACTCCATCCAAAAATTCTAGTTTTTTAGAATCTCTCTTAAACAATTTACAATATTTAACATTAATTTCACTCAACCAACAAATGATATGTTTCATATGAAAGAGGGTCAAACTCCTTTATCAAATATTATTTTCATTAATAGTCAGGATTTGAAATTTTTAATTCCTCGTCATATTATGTATTTCAAACAATTAATAGTTAGTAAAGCCCTCTATCTTATACTATACAGTGACCTTAAACACAAATCCTTTAGATCTCTTTTACAAATTAGAAAGCTTCCAAATTAGTATCTTAGATTATAATA